TCTCTCCACATGATTTTTCCCTCCAAAACAAACGCCAAGAGAAATAAATCCAAATTGGAAATAGTCCTTATTTTTTTTATATTTTTATACTTTATTACTCACTCCTCTTATCATCCTTTCTCCTTACACAGATATTCCTTACTTACTATTCTTATCATTTTTTTAATTCTTATACTTTATCACTCTTATTTTATTTTAATTACTTTATATACTTTATCACTCTTATTTATTTTAATTCTTATACTTTATTCGGAAATAGTCCTTTTTTCTTGAGACTCATCACCATATTTTTTTTCTTTCTTTCTTTTTTTTTTTTAGAGAGAGATTTCCTGGATTTAAGGAATAACACGGAGCCAGATGGAAGCAAGGAGGAGATCTATTCAGCGGTGAGTCATGTCTGTGAGGAAGAAGATGATGATAATAAGTAGGAAGAGAGAAGGAAAGAGAGAGGGAAAGAGAGAGAGAGAGGGAGAGGGAGAGGGAAGGGAGAGAGAAGAGGGAGAGGGAGAGAGAGGGAGAGAGAAGGGAGAGAGAGGGGAGAGAGAGAGTGAAGGAAGAGAGTGAGAGAGGGTGAGAGAGGAGAGGAGAGGGAGAGAGAGGGAGAGGGAGAGAGAAGGGAGAGGGAGAGGGAGAGGGAGAGGAGAGGGAGAGAGAAGGGGAGGGAGAGGGAGAGAGAGAGAGAGAGAGAGAGAGAGAGAGAGAGAGAGAGAGAGAGAGAGAGAGAGAGAGAGAGAGAGAGGAGAGAGAGAGAGAGAGAGAGAGAGAGAGGGAGGGAGGGAGAGAGAGAGAGAGAGAGTGAGAGAGGGAGAGGGAGAGAAAGAGAAGAGAGAGAAGAGAGAAGAAAGAGAGAGAGGGAGGAGAAGAGGGAGAGAGTGAAAAAGAGAGAAAGAGAGAGACAGACATAGAGAGAGAGAGAGAGGATAAAGGGTAAAAATATACATGACACCTATTATATTCCAATTAAAAATATATTAAACCCTTCTTCATCTTTTTACCAACACCCCTTCCTCTCCCTCCGCACGCCCTCATTCATGAATCTAAAGTTTTAAAATATTTTAGTCCTTTTACTCTGATTTTTTTCCTTTTTGTTCTTATTTTATTTTCTAATGAGTACGGTCTGTAGGAGGAACATTTACCTACGCTGCAAAAGTTTTTTTAAAGAAAATTCCAGACGTAATTAAGAAAATTCATACTTTCCCTCTGCGCTCACACACCCTTGGCGTGCCCCTGGGATCCTCTCACGCCCGCAGAAGGAACGCCCCCCCCCTACCTCATCCCAGTTAAAGAAGCACTACCTGGAGGCATTTCTTTAGCTGTTTATTTATCTGGAGTCCAATGTATATATATATATATATATATATATATATATATATATATATATATATTATATATATATATATATATATATATGTATGTATGTATATGTATGTGTGTGTGTGTGTGTGTGTGTATGTGTGTGTGTGTGTGCGTATGTGTTTTGAGTGTGTTGTGCCTGCATATATACACACAGTATAAGTACATACAATATACACATACATCTATATACTGTCTCTACTTATCTATCCTGCCAGACCTTTTCTTCACGTATCTCACCCCTACCCCCCCTACTCCTCTCCTCATCCTCAGCACTTGTTCGCGTCCTATGTCGAGGATCTCCTGACGTCAAGGACCCGATTTGTCCTCCCTTCCAGAGCTGCACCCCTCATGGTGCCAGAGGAGTACATGAAGCCTTACGACCACATTCAGGACCTTGATCGAAGGACGTACCTTGGTTCGTATCGACAGGTTTGGCCATGTTTATGTTGTGGATTTGGATTTGGATATCTTACTCTCTATCTTTCTTTCTCTCTTTCTCTCTTTCTTTCTTTGTTTGTTCTCTGTTTGTCTGTCTGTCTGTCTGTCTCTGTCTCTGTCTCTCTCTCTCTCATTATCTTCTCTCTCTCTCTCTTCTCTCTCTCTCTCTCTCTCTCTCTCTCTCTCTCTCTCTCTCTCTCTCTCTCTCTCTCTCTCTCTCTCTCACACACACACACACACACACACACACACACACACACACACACACACACACACACACACACACACACACACACACACACACACACACACACACACGTTAGTCTATATTCCTTCATGTACATGCATATCCTATACATATCTGTGAAAATGTGTACAATATTCACACTTATTTACAGTTGGATATGATTGACAAATCAGACAAATACCCTACTCGCATATCATAAACATAATCTTCGCGTGTGGTGACAGGTATGGTGACAGCCATGGACGAGGCGGTCGGGAGGGTCGTGGCGGCACTTAAGTCGTCGGGGCACTATGAGGACTCAGTCATCGTTTTCACTACTGACGTGAGTACCTGAGTCTCTTTTGGAATGTTGGTGGTGGTGGTAGTGTTGTGTGTGTGTGTGTGTGTGGTGTGTGTGTGTGTGTGTGTGTGTGTGTGTGTGTGTGTGTGTTGTGTGTGTGTGTGTGTTGTGTGTGTGTT